CACAGAGTTAAGACAAAACTGTTGATTGCACAACAAACATTTGGAAAGCGTACCATGCTTAATGGGACATTTGAGAGTCTGAGCTTTGCTGATGACTATGTAGGGGGTACATAGCAATTGTTAACAGCTGTAATTAAGACTGTGGATTTCTTCATAAAGTTAAACAGAAATAACTTCAGAGACAGAGGTGGCCTTTACATCTTATCTCCTGGGCAGAGAATGAGTGTTTTTTTCAGTTTTATATCATACATTCATTTAGAAGCTTTTTTATTTACCATGTGTTACTTAGAATGTGAGCGATAAGCATTCTTCAGAGACTTCTAGCTGCCCAGATTCCCCTTGTAGGAGAGATGAGCAGCATAAAAATTAATAAATAATAAACAATAAGCAAACAAATAGGAGTGTTGACAGAAGGCTGAGGGATCCATCCTCTTATGCTGCCCTCCATATGCAGGGGCCAATAGTCTACCGTGGGGAGCTTCCTGTAGTTGTGAATTTTTTTTTTATTACCAGTGAACTCTACATATTTCAAAGAAGTGTGATCATTCCCACTGCCAAATTTATAGCAAGTTTTTTTTCACAGAACACACCCATGCCATGATTTTCTTTCCACATTCCACTTCAAATAAATGTGCTTCCAGAAGGTCAGGATTTGTTTGAAGTAGCCTTTAAAGTGTTTTTGTTCAATCTATATAATTTTAAATGAGTATATTTTGTTGTTAAAAGACTAATATTCTCCTGTTCTAAAGTCTGCTGCCTCGTCATGTTTTAAGGTTTTATATTTTAAAACTTACACTTTCGGTAACCTTAGGAGTCCCTTTCTGCATTTGAATAAAATACATAACTTTTAACATTTTTCACTGCCATAATTTCAGAACAGAAAAATTCAAGACCACCCAATCAGATTTGAGTTTAAACTATTACGCTAAAAAATTAGAACATGAGAAAGAGACGTAGAATAAATCTTTCCTACTAAGTTTTGTTTTGTAATTATGAAGGAAAGGAATATTTTATATATTTTAAATATATATAAAATATTTACTAACTTTATAGCTTCACACATATCCAGTCCCATTTTCACACAATTCTTGGCATGATTTTGTAGCGATATTGGAAGGCCGGACACACAGTAGTAGCAGTCTCCTAAGATTTTAATTCTCATACATTCATTTTCCTAAAAAACAAAACAAAACAAAACAAAAAAAAAACCTGGGGAATCAGTTAGGAGACAGTCAAGGCAGCAACATAAAGCTTATCAGCAAAACTGCAGAATCTGATGCAACTGATAGTGTCAATTGTATTCCATCTATAAAACACGGAGATGACTGGGCCAGAATATTTATAGCTGAAATAAGCTCCAGGGCTCTATGCCTCCCTATTTCCAGTGACCTACTTTTCCTGAGTTATGAAATCAGAAGCATGCTCAATGTTGTATCCAAACTCCCAGGGATTTAAAGCCAACACTCCTTCTTAATGGCACCAAATTAGACAGGTCCTTTGGGAATAGACTTGAAATTTTAAATTTGGGGTATCTATTACCATCTCTATTTGAGCACTTGCAGGGATACCGACATTTTCTAAACTATAATACCATATTGTTACATTGCTAGTCTCTCTTATGGGATAAAATTAGTCCTTTAAATGAAGTCTGAGCATTACTTTAGTTCATTCAGAACTGCTCCTTTAGGGGTCCTTGACACGCTCAGTAATGTTTGGGGAGATGCCCAAAAGACAGCTTATTCATCAAAGTTCTTCTTATTCTACAATTCTCCATAATCAAGAAACCAGGGAAGCAGAGCTGGGCATATCCTGAACTCACTATTCAATGATCAGCTGATGTAGAAATGTACTTGCATACCTAACTGCTGTGCCATGACAAATTCCCATCGAGGGGAAATCTAGGATGCACCAATTCCTCTAAGATACTTGGTTTTTTGCAATGCAATTTCAAATGGCAAAACCCAAATTTTGATACAATTTGAATGAATTGTTGTCAGTCTTTACAAAAGAGTGGCAGAATAGGCCAGTCAAAGACGAGGAACCAAACACGGGAACATATGCTGCACCTACTGTGATTCCTGTGCCAGTCAGGATGATAAAGAGTATGAAAACTATTGTTGTTATTCAACAAATTGAGCCTGGCTGAGGAATTCTGGGAGTTAAAGTCCACAAGTCATAAAAGGGCCAAGTTTGAAGACCCCTGCCTTAGAATAATGAGTGATATTACTCACTCAAAACATTGCCTTGCAACACTGCATTGACATCAGTATATATACATGCAAATAAATAATGCAAAGTTCAAAGTGAAGAGACATCAAACAGAACAAAGGGGTTTTTCTTCCACAATAAAATATTATTGCATGTAATGCATACATTATATTTTTTTATTACTTCCAAAATTTTATACTGTTTTGTCCTCATTTTTGTTAACTGGAGGTGTAATTATTTTCTCCCTCCTTACACTAGGATGTGACAAAACCAACTACTACCAACTAAGCAGCAACTGTATTTGCAGGAAAGCATTTTTGGAGGCTGTGAGGACAGCAGAACCCAGGAAAGACTACAATTTCCTCATGCCATTTTTACCTATTATGATTATAAAAACACAGTGGCAACATTATAGTATTAGCCACGAACAAAACTTTCACACATACTTACTTTTGCAATTTGATCAAACTTGCCAAAAAGTTCATTCAGCATATGCACCAGTTCTCCAGGGGAGCAATCACTAGCCAAGCGAGTAAATCCCACAATATCGGCATATAAAATGCTGCACGTAAAAGAATTTAACATTGTTGATTTTTTTTTCAAGTTAAAAAACAATATTTTACCTTAACATTCACTTAAAAGAACCAGGAATGGGGAATGTTCCAAATACCTTATCAGAAACAAACACATTTGGCCACCAACAATTTTTCACAAGGGATTTACGAAGAGCCAATTTACACAGCTATTTTTAGTGGATTGGTCATGTGCGTGGCGATTTTATCCCAGACGTCAAAAACTATTCTAGCAGGCTTCCAGCATTCATCAGGCTTCATCTAGAACTATGCCAGTTAAAGTCTCCTTCCCTGGCACCTCTAAGGGTAATCCTGCAAAGTCTGAGGCATCTCCATATAGTCATTGCTTCCATTTTCCGAAACTTCAGAAGTAGTTTGAAGGGGAACTGATAGTTGTTTTTATTGTAAAGTTAAACGCAAGGGGCAAAAAGCACAATCCCACCTCAGCTGTTACAATTCCTGTAGTAGCAAAAATCTTCTCACTCCTATTTTATACTAACTAAATGATCTCCAGACTACAACAAAGAATAGTACGGCCACCTAGCTATAAGGAAAAAAAATGGAGTGGAATGTGTGCGTATGTATGGAATGAGTTAATAGCCTGGTGTTTGCAACCTTGGAGGCAACTGACAAAACGCATCTCAGTTTTGCCTTGGTTGTTGTTTCCTTGGTTCTGAAAAGGTAACTGCTGGAGGGCTATTGAGGAAGTGCTGCAAAGCTGAGAAGACAGAGTTCCATTTCCTAGTCCTAAACACAGGAGTTGAAAGGGATGCGTGTCTCCAACTTCCTCCAAAACTATCAACTTTCGAGCAGTTTCAATCTAGTGTATAACTGTGCCAGACATAAATCATACCAGCTTTTCAAATTTGCTAAATGTCACAAGATTGCAGAGGCTTAATGTTACAGAATCCCTATTCTATTGTTTCCCCATTACTTCTACTATGAGCTTGGAATGTGGCTGATACGGGCAAAGCTGATTATTCCATTTATTTCCACTGACAGCTCACCATATCCTAGTGACAGAGACACATTCTAGCTTTGCTCTCTTGAAAATCAGCTGAATTTGGGTTAGTTAATCAAACCTGACTGAAGTCATACCATTAGCTAACTAATTGTTCTTATTTTACATATCTCCCATAAAAGCCATAATTTCAGCCTGCAGGGTGCATTTTAATTCAATATTCCCAACTAAAATCAGTTTTTCCCCCCAAACTAAATTTGTTGAAGTTTTACATTTTCACAGTGTTATATTTTAATTACCTTATTTATATGCTTTTATATTAATATCAGAGAAAGAATAGAAAAAAATGAGCTAATTTCGCTTTAGGTTTTACATTAACGAAGAAAATACTAATTTTGTTGCTGCTGCTGCCAATTTATTTATTTATAAAATTTATTGGCCACCCATCTTATCATAGGGTATATTAAAATTAATGGAGGGTGGGGGGGGTGGGGGGGAATTGGGACCAGTTGTTACTTGATCAACCACCTCCACTGTGCTGTTCCCCCATTGGGACACCAAGCCAACTGGCAGAGCCTTATGAAAGGATAAGATCAAAACAGTTCCAAGAACTGGCTTCAAACAATACCTTACATTGGTGTGCCTTTTGACATACAAATTGTGAAAGTTGTTTGTACTTTCCAGCTGGCCTGCTTTGGGTCCTTGTAACCTTTGAATGATCTCAGCTTTCATTTCCATGGCTATGTGAGCAGGAAGCAGAGAAAGCAGAAGACGTTCCTGGTTTTGAAAATAAAAGAGAGAAAGTCCAGGCTTCCACTATTTTTAAATAAGAAAAAATTGCTAAGGAAAACATAATTTCTCCAGGGATGTTTGGGGAAAAACAGTGAATGATGTACTATCATTTGTAGGGATGACTAAAGCGTTTGAAAGTGATGCTTCACTAAGCATTTTAGCCAAACTATTACACCTCTTGAAGCATTAAAGTAGTCACATCCTTTGCAAGTTCATGTGGCTGCTTTAAAGGCTGGCTCCAATTTATTAGTTTATTGATATACCATAGTCATAGACAATATTTCTGCTGGGACTACCAGAGAAGCTGTAGTTGGATACAATCTCAGAAGCAATTATGACAGCCTTGCAACAGCCAAAACTACTTTAATGTTGAAGAATGGCAGATGCTTTGCAAAGCTCTCTTTTTAATGTTTTGCAGGGCCTAGTCATTTGTAATCTTTCCTCCATTTTTCTTCTGTAAAAGACAGATAGAGGAAATGTAACCTTCTATAGAAGATTGATTGGAGGAGTAACTTTGCAAACCTTTCTACTCTTAATAATTTGGAGGAAAAAGGGAAGAAAAACAGCCATACAAAGTAAAGGAAAAGGGTAAGTATAGAGACACACATACACAATAAACTAAACAAAGGTCTCTTTATGTTATCATTCAAAACTTTTGCTTCCAAATAAACTTTCTCCAAAAACAAAACATAAGGAACTTGTCATACAAAAAAATGGTTACCGTAAATGAACATAAATGATATTGTATTGCTGAATCGGGATAAGCCCAACTTAATCCAGAATTTTATTTCTCACAGCAGTCAACCTGATGTCTCTGAGGGACTCTCATCATATTCTGTTCTCTATTGTTCCCCTCAATTGGCTGTTGAGACACGTTGCTCCGAACTGCAGGTAACACAGAGGCATTGATAGCCTGTCTAGCATGAATGGATCTAATCTTCTTTTAAAGCCATTCAAATTAGTGACATCATCATGTTTTATGGCAGTGGTTCTCAACCTGTGGGTCGGGACCCCATTTGGGGTCAAACGACCATTTCACGGGGGTCGCCAAACAACGCAGTCCGCCATTTTCCCCCCCTTTTCCTTAGCTGTGCTACTCCCTTTTATTCTATTGGCTTTTGAAAGCCAATAGAATAGACTCTCCTGAATAGAGTCTAATTCTATTGGCTTTCAAAAGCCAATAGGAATTGTCCAGGCTGTCTCTGCCCTGCTGAGTCCGCCAAAAGTCCCATTCTGCAAACGGTGCTGCACCAGTTGAGTAGTCCTCGACTTACAACCGGTTGAGTAGTCCTCGACTTAAGACCGGTTGGGGGTCGCGGCATTAAAAGGGTTGAGAACCACTGTTTTATGGCAATGAATCTCACATTTTAATTCTATATGGAATTAAGCCATGAATGAAAATGGTATGTACAAATGATGTAAGACCCTCATAGACATCAGCCTTTATAAAAATGGACCCCAAGCAACCATGTAATAGACATCTCACCTGGAGACATCACCATGCATACTTAATACCTCCTTATTCCATTTTTAAAAAACAGATTCAGGGATCAATAACATGCCTTTGACCTATGGCCATAAATATCTTAGGTTCAGCCTATCTTGCCATTTATTGCATTGGGCTTATTTGAATATTATTTGTGTCTCTTATTCATAAGCAGAACACACACAGTTTTTGTCCAATAAAAGGCGACACTTGAAAAACTTCCATTCAGGATCATTTAATCACATTGTAAAAACATTCAATAAGGGATCTGGCCATTAATTCAGGCTACTTAGGGGATGCGGATTGGATTGCATAAAGTTTGAGCAGCACAGATTTGCATACAGATTTGAGCAGCACAGACAGCAATTGGTAGATGGATATGACTCTCATCATAATTCCTGGTCCTAGGGAATGCCCCTATTGAGGGTTTAAAAGAGTGGTTTTCCTTCTTTGCTTTGTAGCTTTTCTTGCCACAGAAGTGAATTGCTGAAGATACTGAAAACTGTTAGGCTACATGGAAGAGGAGAGAGATCTCTCACTTGGAGAAAGGGAAGCCTCTGCCAAAGCTCTGGGAAAGAAGCTGGTAAAATGTCTCCAATGGTTATGTGTACAGAAACAATACCACTCATGTTCAATAAAGCCAATATAGACTAATGATTACTGTATTACACTAGATCTAGGAAGACATAGTTCAAGTCCACCCAGAGCCATGGAAGTTCCCCTGGTGACTTTGGGCCAGACACTCTCTCTCATCACAGTCTATCTTAGACTGTTGTAGGGGAAAAGAGAAAAGAGTGAGTGCCTTGAATGTCTTGAGTCCCTGGACAAAAAGTGAGATTCAAATTGAATCAACGAATAACAGTTCCCTTCAAAACATGCCCCTATTTAAGTATTTGATAAAACATTAAGGGCACCTCCTTCCTCAGAAGTCTGTTTCCTGCTTTCTGTCACATTAGAAGCAGGTCAAAGAAGAGATGCTGTAAACAAAGGCAATATTTGTCAGAGATTAGATCTCAAATTTTGTTCTTCTGAGATTTTTTTTCAATGAGAGAACATACAACAGGTTGCATTTACAAATAATACATGACAAAGCATTGATCTGCCTATTTATTCTCCATACCTTATTTAGCAAAAATACTTTGTCTCTCTCAAGCACATCATTTTCTTTTGAACCAAAGCACAATTCTGATACAAAGGCCAACAAATTTCCATATATCAATGCTAATTCACTTGTCATAATTGGATAAGTCATCACATTGGGAAAACTATGTAGCTGGGTGGGTAATGCAACTCTTAAGCTTTTACAATAGTCAAAGATGAAACATATCAATTAATTAATGTTATTTGTTCCCCTTTTACACTCTGCTGTCACATTATAACACAGATCTTCCATCTGCCATGTCTCAGCCACACATGTCTCCCCTTTCTTAAATAATTCTCTATAGTCTGCCTTGCTGTTACTAATGCTTACAATTCTCTTTGAGATTAAACTCTCTCTCTCCCCCTTTATAATCAATGCCTTCCAATGATGCCTCTGGATTACTACTTTGTCCCTTATCAGTTCTGAAATTCACCCCAAGTACAAGGTTATTTGTCTACTCCTACTCCAATGTTCTCTTTTTTCCTATATTAACTTTCTCCTTTACAGTTTAGAGACAGTAAGCCCCTAATTTTTTAAAAAATTCTGTTTCTGAATTTCTCATTCATAAAGTGAACACATAAATAATACAAAATAGTTTTGGGGTTTTATTTATAGCAGTTCCACCCCCCCTTTTTTTCCTTTTTAAAATCTACATATTCCAGTTTATTTAGAATAAATTTCTTTCCTTCTGACATCATTTTCGTAGAGACAACAACAGTTTTCATTCTAGTTTTTTAAGAAGGGCATTGATTCAGTTACACATGTAGAATCCCACTCAGTTACCTTGCTCATTTAAACCGTCACAGCTTTTGAGTCCTGTTTCTAAGCACATTATTATTAGGATCCTGCATCCTCCATGAAAGTGACATTCAGTGAGCTATCTCAGATACCAAATACCGCCTCCTGGAAGAATCTTTCAAAACATCTTATAAGTCACACAATGCAAAATACCTGAAATGAACAAGGGTAATTATGCTAAATGCTTGTCACTGTCAAAATGAGGCCTGAAAGCTTTGCAATTGCCTTGCCTTATTCTCTGCGAGAGTTTAAACAGTGGGGCAAACAATTTTATAGGGAGTGGGAATATGTAAGCTAAAAAGCTAATGTGCGTATTTCTGTGTGCATACATTACACATGTATACGACAGAGTTGTGCATTTAGTAGATAGTTATCGAAGTAATAAACAAAATAAGATTCACAAAATCCAGTATTTTTTATATTCTAGCAATACATCAAAAGAAAGGGAGCATCTATGAAGATAAGGGAAAACTAACAGTATTTTTCTGCGCTCAGTTCGTAGTTTGCTTTTATTTATAATAGGAATTGATAATTTTTGGATAATTGGGGCCTATACTTCACATTCTGTGGGCCAAATGAATGGATGATAATATAGGTGAAATCAAGATTTCCTAACTTTTTTTCTATTTTTTTTTTTAAAGGATGTTGCCTTTATTTTATAAATTATATTTAACCTCTTTTAGAGCATATACTTTGTTTTCTGGTTGTTTCCCACTTCAAATTGTTAAGAAACTGTTTTTGGTTACTGTACCTGGAAGTGATTCTGGAGGATTCCCAAGGGAAAAAAAGAGTGGGGGCTACATCAGGCCCTAGTATCTCAGGCTGCCTATATAGTTATCTAATTTACAACACAGAACTTGCTACTGTTCTATGCATGGTGCAGTGCTGCTCTATCTCTGGAACAGAAAATAGAAAAGTGATGGTCATCAAATGTGGTTGGCTGCCAGCTTTCACCCACCCTGGCCTATACCCCGGCCTCATCAGGAACAATGCAAGTTACAGTCCAACAACATCTAGACCACTACAGACACCCACTTTCAGCTAAGCTAAAGGAGACCGACCAAGTGGGATATTGCTGGTGGATTCTAAAAGATTGAGGAAGTCTTAGATTCACTGAAGCATCTCTAAGAGATCTCTAAGGCAAGATTATTTGTAAACAAGGATCTGAAGTATATAAAGATTTTAATGAATAATTAGAATAATTAATTCATATTCCAGGCTTCTGCATTATCTAATTTACAGTTCTCGCTCATTCATTCATTCATTCATTCATTCATTCACTCACGCATTCATTCATTCATTCATTCCTCTTTACTGATTAAAATGATGCCATGAAAATACCCACAATACAATAGATTAGGTAAAGAATAATGATATACTGTAGGCATGCTTATCCATATAAGTTTCACTATGTTTAATGTTTCTTCCAAGTAAACATGCACAGATTTCACCAAATGTGTATCATATTCATACACCCTTATAAATGTTATATCATCGTAGCTGTGAATATACTATAATGAAAAAGTTCAGAGAAAGAAAATTGTGTTATAGGTTAGAAAATTCAGAGTGTATGTATGTATGTATGTATGTATGTATGTATGTATGTATGTATAATTTATTTTGCGGTCACAGACCAAATAAATAAGATATCTAGTGGCTGCTTTTGGGTTTTAGATTCCTCTATGGAAGTTGCAAAGTATTGCCTCATTTGTTTAATATAGCTTATTTTGACAAATTTTGTCCCTTTGATAGATAGGACACTTCTTTCTTCATGAGTAATAAACTGAGGAAAGAAGGAATTTGATATTTTTCCTGTTAGAAGCAAAATATAGGTAAAAGAGTTTAATAAAATGGTAACAAACAACAGTGATGAGGCAAGGCAGAATAAAATAAAGAAACCAACACAGACAGATTGAGGTACAGCCAAAAACTTCTACACAAAAGCTTTTGACAGTTTGCCAACAGCCTCTTTCAGATTTTTTATATAGAGCCTTAATTGGAGGAGAATTTGAATTGCCTATAGACTATGGTTATTATTAGGATAATAATAATAGTAGAGGCAGTAGCAGTAGCAGCAATGTTGTCTATATTGCCTTTGATTTATCCGAATAAAAACTTCCCTTTTTTTGTGGAACAAAAAGTAGATAATCTTATTATATTCTCCCAGCATTCTTTATATCATAAGATCCTATTGTTGAAAGAGCTGGCTCATTTATTAAAAATATATACACTTTAGTTTTGAAAATGCTTCACAAATTTCCACAGTATTTTTTTTCAGCCTTAAGAATGTTTCTTCAAGTTTCATAGCAACAGACTATACCAAAAGAACTTTGATGTCAAGAGTCTAATATATCTTTTATCTTCCATTTTCCTCCATTATGAGCCAAACTAAAGAGAGAACAAAAGCTTAAAAATAATAGAATTTCCACCTTTTCTATTCTTAGGTGAAAATTGGAACAAACAAAACTCTTACATTGATTTTCAAAGAGTTCCTCCTTCCCCTTTCCTGGTCAATAGCAACTAACAAAACAATATATGTAAATTATTGTAGGAAACAAAATAGTAAATAATGCCTTTACCTGCTGCCGCTTCTCAAACTCCAGCTTGATGCGTGATTTGATGCAATTACAGGTATCCTGATATGTCTGCTGTAGAGCAAGTTCCATCAACTGTTTGTGATAGGCTCCAGCCAGATTCCCACAGATAAAAATGATGATGTTTGCCAGAATCTATCAGTACAATAAGACAGATCAAACTCTCACTCAGTTATCATTTACCATAAAGTCTATTCACTGTTATAGACTTTATTGGACCCTACTTCCTCTCCATTAGGTTTGCAAAACTGTATTTTGCATTTTAAAGTGTGACTATTAGGAATATCACATTTGTATCTGGGGAATAATTTACCTCACCCAAAGGTCAAAGCCTCCCTCTGATGATTTGACATTTGGATAGCAAACTATACTTATTAAAAAACTGTATCTCTAAGAATTATTGAGGTAGTTCTAGAAATTGTTTCCATCTTCTCCCATTAATACCAAAAGAACATTCCAGAAGATAACGTTGAGGAATATCCAGGAATCCAGAAGAGCCTTCTCTGCTGTAGCGCTGGCCCTCTGGAAAATCCTGCCACCCAGGTTGAGGTTTGCCCTCACCCTCCTATCCTTCTGCAAGATCCTGAAGACCTGGCTCTGCCAGTTGACCTGGAGATGCCTGATGGACTAACTAGCTGTCCCCACCTCCCCCACCACCACTTCCTGCTCCCTCCACTCATCTTTTTAATTTCATATTATTGAACTTCCATTAATTATTTTTATTGTTTTATTCCTTTACTATTTTTTACATTTTAATCATTTCCCCCCCATTTTACTGTTGTAAGCTGCCCAGAGTAACCCTGTAGCGAGATGGGAGGCAAATTAATTTAACAAACTAATAAAATGCAGAAAGCCATCTTGTAAAAGAATGATGATGTCTGGAGAATATGAAATCATGGTGATAATTATCAGCCATTTTCACAGTCCTATAAAGCAATGGTGGCTTGAATAGACTAGCCACAAATCATGATCGTAACCCTAGATATAATGTTGGAAAAAAACATATAGAATAGTCTTTGTTAGATTCTCTTATATTTGATATTGGACTTAGTGATAATGGAAGAAAAACAAATTCTCTTTGATAAATAGATAACTTACAGTAACATTTTACTTTTTTTAATTTGAACAAATAATACTGCATTAGCAATATATTGAAATTAACAGTGTAATTCAGAATAAGCAAAAGGTAACAACCAGCAGAAATTTTATGTCATCTATATTTTATAATTCTGTTTCCAATTAAAGAAAATTGTAAGGTCATGGGACTGAACATGTGATATCCCATTAGATATCTTACTCCCATATGATGGGGAATTGTTGATGAACATTTATTTTGAGTGCAGTTTCTAGCCAACCATAGATATACCTAATAGACTTGACGTGCAGCACATATTTAACTAGCTGGCTAATCAAAATATTAAAGGGAATATCTTCAAGTCAAGATATATTATGTCCATTCCTTTTCTGTTCAAACATGTCCAGTTCTCAGATCCTGCTTGGAAAAGTTTCTGTAGATTTCTTGGCAAATTTTTTGAGAAGTGGTTTGCCATTGCCTCCTTCCTAAGACTAAGAAAAAGTAATTGGCTCAATACCATCCAGCTGGCTTTATGCCTAAGGTGGAATTCACAGTGTCCCATTTTCTAGGCTGATGCCTTAATCACTACATAAAACTGTTTTTTTTTAATTAGGTCCATAGCATTCTCATAATCTACTAATGCAGTGGTTCTCAACCTGTGGGTCGGGACCCCATTTGGGGTCGAACGACCATTTCACGGGGGTCGCCAAACAACACAGTCCGCCATTTTTTCCCCCTTTTCTTTAGCTGTGCTACTCCCTTTTATTCTATTGGCTTTTGAAAGCCAATAGAATAGACTCTCTTGAATAGAATCTAATTCTATTGGCTTTGAAAAGCCAATAGGAATTGTCCAGGCTGTCTCTGCCCTGCTGAACCCGCCAAAAGTCCCATTCTGCAAACGGTGCTGTACCAGTTGAGTAGTCCTCGACTTACGACCGGTTGAGTAGTCCTCGACTTACGACCGGTTGGGGGTCGCGGCATTAAAAAGGTTGAGAACCACTGTACTAATGGTTAAGGTTAGGACTGACTCCCTTGAGAATAACTGACTTCCTTGATAATTTAGGAAATTTGCTGCTGAATTTGATGTCCCCCCAAAAAAACTGGATTCATCTGTCTCACTTGCCCTGAATATGGCAAAGATGACTTTTCTACCTCACAGAATACAGGTTTCAGAAATCTCTTTGTTGTCTCCTGACCTATATATCAGAGGTTTCTACTGTTTCTTCAGCATTAAATCAGCTCACAGGAATTCATAGTTTTTCCCCCTCCACTGATTTCTTAATGCTGATAGCATTTTTCAGCTTCTTTATTTCTCAAACTGTATCTGCCTCACTATTTCTTCTTAATTCAAATCTTCAAATGAGCTGTCTTGTGTAGTCTACTCCTTGTGGTTTATTAGCATCCTCATTTGCTGTCTCTTTTTATTTAATCTCCCTGCAAAGCAGCTGTCAGCTGATTAATGACACAGTTGTAGGATGTAGCTTTCAACTCTTTCTTGACCATTTAACTGGTCCTTAGGTCACACAGTTTTACCTTTTTAGGACATCTTCTGACTGGCTGAAAATTTAAATTAAATCATTGTGTCCTCAATAGGTGTCACTCACTTGACTGATACTTGCTACCTTCTTATTGCTTCAGAAAAATCAAAACAAACATTAACAGTAAAAATGCTAGACAGGTTGAAATAATCACAATCAGTATTCTAATGACTGTAGAGAAATTAACAGCCTGGTTATTTAACAACAATAAGTATTATAATTATTAAAACTATATGTCATCATCTCCCAGTGACACTATTTCTACATAGCATGAAATAAAATTATTGAGCACCCCCAAAATTATCTAGCATCTCTGAACTCATAGGGAGAACTGCTAGATGATAGCTAGATTGATGGAGGTGGTCTTTCAGATGTAGCTTATACCTTTCATTGTCTTAAGACACTGCCATACAGAAACCTTGCATCTGGTTAGATTGGTAACTGCTGGATCTTATAACATTCTTGTGAATGATTAGGACTCCCCTTTTATTAGGGTGAAGAGAGAAGATTATTTCTTTAGCCAAAAATTCAGCAAAGAGGTTGAGTGAAATTGTGCTAAGCATCTGTTGGTATTGTAATGCACAGGGTCCCCCCCCCCAATTTATCTGGCAAGTCACTTAGCTACTCATTCTGAAATTTAGTTTTGAATACATTTCTGTGTGAGTTATCTGATAAGGTGCACAATACAAAGCAGCATGACATTTAATTGAAGCTTTTAGGCTGGAAACCTATCTAAACTTATTTGGGAGTAAGTTCCATTCGACATAACAGGACCTGTTTCTGGGCAAATATTCTTCAGATTTCCTCTGCCTCTGAGCCTTCTTTTGAAGTTATAAGTTTTAGATTCTGTATCCAAAACAGACATCTTTGTACATCTAAGAACAAGAGGGGCTTGTTAATCTGCCTCCTACCAGTCATGAAATTGTGCAATCTTAAAATGCTACAGCAGATTTGAATATTTTAGCCCGGATAGGGGGGGATCATATTTTAATGTTCCCCATCCCAATTCTTTACAGGAATGTATGTGTATAATGTGTCTCTCCTTCCTT